TTCTCCACAGCTTTTACGTGGATGACTGCTTAAAGTCCGTTCCGTCTGATGCTCAGGCAATTCAGCTTGTGAAAGATCTAAGAGCACTGTGTGCCATGGGAGGTTTTCAACTGACTAAGTGGGTTAGTTCCAGCAAGGCTGTTCTGCTGACCATACCTGAGGAAGATCATGCAGCAGATGTAAAGGACTTGGACCTAAGCCACAACAGCCTTCCCATGGAGCGTGCCCTGGGTATCCAGTGGTGCACAAACTCAGACAGTTTCAAATTCCAGTTGAATGTCCTTGAAAAGCCTATGACAAGGCGTGGGATCCTGTCTGTCGTTAGTGCGTTGCACGACCCCTAGGATTTTTGGCACCAGTTATTCTGCCTGCAAAGCAGATCCTAAGGGCACTGTGTGAAGAAAAGTATGGCTGGGACCAAGAAATCAATGATTATCAAGCACACACATGGAAAGAATGGTTGTCGGACATAAAACTGATAGAGGGATTCGAAGTAAGCAGATGTGTGAAGCCAGTGACATTTGAACCTTTACAGTCAGCACAATCACACCACTTTGCCAATGCCTCGGAGAAAGGCTATGGTACCGCCTCATACCTACTGTACTGCTGTCAAACCAAGCTGGTGAGAAGTATTGCAGCCTTTTGATTGGGAAGGCAAGAGTAGCCCCGTTGAAACGTGTAATCCCACGGCTAGAGCTATCAGCTGCAGTAGTGTCTGTGAAAATGGACCAGATTTTATGACGTGAACTGCAGGTGCCGCTGCAAAACTCTGTTTTTTGGACTGATAGCACTACAGTGTTGAGATACATTGGAAATGAACACAGTCGCTCCAAGACCTTTGTGGCAAACCGAGTAACAATGATAAGGGAACATAGCCATCCTTCACAGTGGCACTACGTGAAGTCAGGAGAAAATCCAGCGGACCAAGCCTCAAGAGGGCTGAAGGTAAGACTTCATAGAAAGCAAGACTTGGTTACAAGGCCCAAGTTTCCTACTAAAGTCTCCGGAAGATTGGCCTGAATTGCCGTACCTGAAGGACATATCTCAGAATGATCCTGAGGTCAAGTCCTGTGCAATAAAGGTTGAAGTGGATGCAGAAAGGAAAGCATTAGCTTTAAATAAGCTGATTTTATATTTCTCCAATTGGACACGACTAAGAAGGGCAGTGGCTTGGTTTTTGAATCTGAAACAAATGCTGCTGCATTTGAGAAGGGAAAGAAAGGTCTTCATGGACAAAATCAGATTGTCCAAGAGATGTCCAAGCCAACACGAGCTGCTGGCAACAGCACACATGAAAAAGTATAGGTTGATGCTGAAACCAGCTTTACTCGCTATAGAAGATCTGGAAGAGGCCGAAAATGAGATAATAAAGGTTAGTCAGTTCCAAACTTACCCAGAGGAAATTATGGCTCTACAAACAGCTGGACATGTGAGAAAGACCAGCCCAATCTACAAACTGGATCCCTTCCTGAAAGATGGAATTGTGAAAGTGGGTGGACGTCTCTCTAGATTATCAATGCCAGAGGAGACAAAGCACCCTGCAATTCCTTGCAAGGAGTCTCCTACTGCTGTTCTCATCTTGCAACACAGCCACAAGAAAATTGGACATTGTGGACGCAATTACATGTTGTCCCAGCTGCGCACAAAGTACTGGATACCGCAAGTGAGCTCAGTGATTAGAGGCATAATTTCCAGATGCGCAACCTGCAGAAGGTTTAATAGCAGGATGGGAGAGCAGAAAATGGCTGATCTACCATTGGACCGCATCATGCCAGATCAATCTCCATTTACCAACGTAGGAGTGGACTTCTTTGGGCCTTTTGAAGTCAAGAGAGAGAGAAGCCATGTTAAAAGGTATGGAGTGCTCTTTACCTGCCTTACCATAAGAGCTGTCCACATCGAGATTGCCCATAGGCTAGATACCAACTCCTGCATAAATGCGCTCCGCCGCTTTACATGCAGAAGAGGTCAGGCTAAGATTATGCGCTCAGATAATGGGACTAATTTCGTTACTGCTGAAAGAGAGCTACGTGCGGCACTTCAAGATCTGGACCAAAAGATGCTGATGCGATGATGGAAAAGGGAGTTAAATGGATCTTTAATGCCCCCACCGCCTCCCATTGTTAGTTTAACCACTAGGTGGAAAGCACTTACGTAAAGGCACGTAATATACAGTATGTGTTTTTTCTTATGAGACGGTCAGGTGTAGACGTAACACAGTTTTCTGACCGACTACGATTAAAGCTCGATAGATTAGTGGAAGTATGAACAATATATTAGTGGAAGTATGTTTTGTTTTGTAAATGTTTTCCTTTGATATATTTTATTAGTAAATGTTTTTTAAAGAAGATTTTGAGTTTGGGAATTTTTCGTCACATCAGACTAGTTGCCAAACACCTGCTCCGTTTGTGGCATAAAGAAGAAGGAGGAGTGCCACTTACAGTCCGTTTATGTGTTGATCTAATAAAATTGAATGAAGCCGTATGCAGAGAGAAATACGTACTTCCTTCTGTAGAACACAGTCTTGGCATGTTAGCAGGTGCTAAGATTTTCAGTAAACTCGATGCCAACACAGGGTTCTGGCAAACACCGGACACAGCAAAGTACACCACCTTTATCACACCCTTTAGGAGGTTTTATTTTAACCACCTTCCTTTTGGCATAAATTCAGCTCCCAATCATTTCCAGATCAGAATGGTAACAGAGGTCACAGAGGGACTCAATGGTGTCCTGTGTCACATGGACAATGTTTTTGTCTGGGGAAAAACTCAAGAAGAACACGACGCCCACTTGCACACTGTATTAACAAAGATTCAAAATGCTGGCACCTTAAATGTGGAGAAGTGTGA